ATTTGATGTGTGTTCATATAATTAGTGGTATATTTTGAAGCATGCTTTTGCCAACACTTCATTTTTGATATTGCAAGCCTTCTGTTGCATTTGGTCCCAAAACATTTTACTTCTGTCAACTAAGCACACGATTTTGGTATCCTAATCTAAAAATACTGTAAAAATGAGAGGTCTCATGTCCTCAGAAGATATGCATGCAAAATATAAATTCTAAATTGATGACTCTTTCTTCAAATATTAAACTCTATAAAACATTTCTTTAGGGTTTCCCCTGGGCTTCTGTTGTGGCTCTTCTGGTACAGGTTATCGTGCTTGTCAATGCAAAACCAACGAAGAGAATCCAACATTTTCGGCACCAGCACACCCAGAACACAAAAATCCAGCAGGTCGATTAGCCTGTGTGGAATATCCCTACGGAATAGAAAAAAAAATATCAACCTAAAATATTCTTTCTTCACTAGCTAATTAATATAAGCTAAATAAATATAGAGCACTTTATAAATTTTAAATTATTATTATACACACTGCTACACTCTGGCCATCAACGTGTATGGTTTTTGGGAATTGGCAGACATGACTTTTTAATCATGAGAAATTTATTTGAACTGAATTATGAAAAAAAGGTTAAAAAAATACATTTTTTAAGTTTGAGGCATACAACTCTTGACAAGAAAACAGTTCACTGTAAAGAACACACCTATTCTAATTATATCTCCTGAAGATGTACAAGGCAAGGACAGAGAAGCACAGCAAATAGGAGAAAGTGAAGATGCCACAGGCTTGCACATGTAAAACACTCTTAGAGAAGTATAACAACATTCTGTAGTATTATCCTCAAACTTACCAGATCAATTTTCAACCGTTCAAAAGCTAACACGGTGTTTGATTCAATCTCCGCAGAACACTGAAGACATTTCACAAGTACACCCTCCTCATTTCTGGTTATAGCTTTTGTAGACACTGGATAGGAAAAGGTCTCCTAAAAGAAAAAGAAATGCAAATAGGTTGTTAGGTATGAAGATGGATCAGTTCTTTGAGGATTTCTGCTACTACAGGTTTTTCAAGTTGAAACCTGGAGCTGAGCCTAGGTTCACAAGTCGCAAATTCATAATCCCGGAAGCTAGCTTCATAATGGTTACATCACACGCAGCAAAATATATTTAAAGATGTGTTAACAAAGCTCAATTAATTATCTGTCACTTGAGGCCATGACCAGATTCAAGGAATGGAGTCGAGTCGAGTTGAATAGCTTGGTGGACAAGATGCATGCTTTCCAATCCCAAGGTCCTGGGATCATGACCAAAACAAGTCCACCTCTTATTCTATGTACAGCATCTTGTATGTATGTTTGTCTTGTGATGGGACTGCCACTTTGAAGAGTGATTAAGTTCACTATTTGGCATACCCTTGGCCCTAGTGCCTAAAGCTGAATTAAGAAAGATCAGATGGCCCAACCATCTCTACATTTTTTAATTAATATGACCCACAATATTAAGAATTGGCAATGAACATAACATTTTGGATAGGCAAATTATTATTTTTTATTCTGACACACTTCTTGTGACGCTGGGGGTCCAGACCTGTCTGACGGGGTAAAATTCCAACCGCTGACGCTACCACTGGTCTGGACCCTCCATCTATAAATGTCCCTCCCTGGGCCATTCTAGGCTGTCTAACAAACACCTCCAGTCATTTTCCAAACTTTATAAAGCTTTATAAAAGCATCAACATTTTGAAACAATAATGAAAGAACTTTACATTTAATCTGGCAAGCATCTTGAGAATAGGGCTAGTTAGCTTCAATCGCTTCTTTGCTCTTGTCAAAGCAACATAAAGAAGATTGAACTCGTCCATTGGTTGATTCGCATTCATCTGCAAGCGGTCCGGAATGCCTAGAAAACAATATAGAACACCAACAATCAAATGTTAAATTAGTGTAATCAAATTAACTTCATTAAAATATATATCTGTAAGATATTCAAAAGTTTTTAGAAAGTAATAAAAGAGTCTAACCATGGGGTGAATATAAGTAAATATAAAGATGAAAATAGTCATTGTCATTTAGCTTGTATTAAATCCTGCTGAGAAGACTTTAAAGAACATAAAACTAGTTAAAACACTAACCGCCAAAACCTAGTAGATTGCCATAATTGGTTTCAGTCAAAAAGTCACACGTCACTTTAACAGTATCAAATTCCAATCCCTTTGCCTTATGCGCAGTTGAAAATACCACCTCTGAGGGGAGACAAGCGTTGCAAATCAATACATTGGATGCATCTATACATGCATACATAGAGATATATACATCAAAGTAAATATCTAAACAGCCTTGAACTAATACTTTATCAATTTGTTACTAAGTTTGTAGCCAAGATAGTTGTTTAATAGTCCTTACTCTGGACTATCAGCAACTACATATATTTAACAA